CAACCATTGTGGAAGACAGTGTGGTGATTCCTCAAGGCCTTAGAAATAGAAATTCCATTTGACCCAGCAATCCCATTACTGGGTATATCCAAAAGACTATAAATCGTTCTACTATAAGGACACATGTACACGAATGTTCATTGCAGCACTGTTTACAATAGCAAAGACCTGGAATCAACCCAAATGCCCATTGATAATAGACTGGATTGGAAAAATGTGGCACATATACACCATGGAATATTATGCAGCAATCAGAAATGATGAGTTTGTGTCGTTTGTAGGGACATGGATGAATCTGGAGAACATCATCCTCAGCAAACTGACACAAGAACAGAAAATGAAACACCGCATATTCTCACTCATAGGTGGGTGATGAAAAATGAGAACACATGGACACAGAAAGGGGAGTACTAAACACTGGGGTCTATTGGGGGGAAAAGGGGAGGGCCAGTGGGAGGGGGAGGTAGGGAGGGATAGCCTGGGGAGAAAAGCCAAATGTGGGTGAAGGGGAGAAGAAAAGAAAGCACACTGCCATGTGTGTACCTATGCAACTGTCTTGCATGCTGTGCTCATGTACCCCAAAACCTATAATCCAATAAAAAATTAAAAAAAAAAAAATACAGATGTATGTGCTGTTTTGGGGACTGGGTCATGACACCCTAGTCAGTTTCTGCTATTTCCTTTTCTGAGAAGGCAATTGTATTGCCTCCCTATCCAACCAGATTTATTTTATTAAATCTGGGGCCTGTAGGGTCCAAGTACCCAGCAGTTATAAGGAAAAGCTCCTGATTTGTGGTTTTTCACTTTATGGTTCCACCTTTTAAATAAATACCATGTTAGTGCAGCTAGTCCCTTCTGTTGTCTCAAGACCCAGGGCTGAGAATGCTTCAGACCAGTCAGGTGTGGGAGGGAGGCAGTGCTTCTGGAGTTGCATCGCCTGGTTTGAAATCCTCTGGTAAAATATGTGATCTTTTTTGTGCCTCCAAGATCTTCTTGTCTGTAAAAAGGGGGTTAGTAATCTACTCCGGAGGTTCAATGTGAGGATCAAATGGGGTAGCGTATGTAAAATGCCTAGCAGTCTACAGCACATAGTAGGTGCTCAATAATGTTATTTTATTAAACAAAATGATCACAAATGGAAGGTGGCCATGGGGTCTAGTGAGAGAGTTGAGGATGTGCTTTCTCAATTATCATCAGATTGACTATTGTGGTATCACAGTTCTTGTGTTTAGCTAACCCTTATCTCACTTAATACAGTTGTTCCCCCTTATCCATGGGAGCTACATTTCAAAACCTCTAGTGGATGCCTGAAACCGTGGATAGTGCCAAGCCCTATATATACTATGTCTTTACCCATACATACATATCTATGAGAAAGATTAATTTATAAATTAGGTTCAGGAAGAGATTAACACCAATAAATAATAAAGCACTAACAATATACCATAATGAAAGTTATGTGAATATGTTCTCTTTCTCTCATAATATCTTACTGTACTGTGCTTAGCCTTCTTGTGATGATGTGAGATGGTAAAATGCCTACATGATGTAATAAAGTGACGTGAATGATGTAGGCATTGTGACGTAGTGTTGGGCTACTATTGACCTTCTTATGATCTATCAGAATGAGGATCATCTGCTTTGAGTGATCCTGAATTGTGGAGTCACAACGCTGTCTGTGGTTAGATGTCAGGAGCAGACAGTGTCAATGACTCAGGGGCAGGGAGCATCTACAGCATGGAGATGCTAGACAAAGGGATGATTCACATCCTGGACAGGATGAAGCAGGATGGTGTGAAGTTTCATCATCCTACTAAGAATGACGTGCAATTTAAAAGTTATGAATTGTTTATTTCTGGAATATTCCATTTAATACTTCTGGACCTCAGTTGACTATAGGTAACTGAAACTACAGAAAGTGGAACTGTGGCTAAGGGGGGACTACTGTAAAAACTCCATGCCTAGCTCATTTGGACATGAAGGTGGTAGCTCAAACTAAGGGATTCCAAACCTCAGGCATAGGCAAGTAGTAAGTTTTTTTCCCTTAGTTCATGTAAGCTATTGAAATGAGGTGGTGGTGTCATCTCCTTACCTCTTTAAGGAAGGTCAAGACTTACTAGTAAACATCAGTGAAATTCCAGGAGAGGAAAAAATGACAGATGACTTTCTTAGACTTCCTTAAGTTTAAGATGGATGGATACAATGGAAATACAATGTCTCCCACCTTCAAGCATCCCCCTTGAACTGGGTTGTAGATCAGGTGGTACTGGCAAACAAATTCAAATCAGTGACAAGCTATAGTGGAGGTCTCGAAAGCAGCATTCCAGGAGTCTGGGGCTCTTTGTAATGAGTGATCCATGGCAGAGACCTAAGTGATGTGGTACACTGTTGTAGAAAGCAGTTGAGTACAGATTGCAGAGAATTTGGCACAAAGTGTGAATTGAATTAGTTTATATCCAGTACTGGAGAGAGAGCTCTGAACTTAGGCTAAGGAAATAATGCCGCTTACTAGCTTGGTGACCTGGGGCAAGACACTGAATCCTGGATTCCTCATTTGCAAAATGATTGCCCATTCTGGCTTTTATTTTTTAACTCATGTGATTGGCAGGAGAAAGGGGTGATGGATATCAGAAGTGATTGTGAACTATCCCAATGTGAGGGTGAATGATTGTGCTTGGCATCAGGTCAGGTGATCTTTACCACCAGCCACCTCTGGGTCCCTCCCCGTGCCCTCTGTAGGGCTTATTCTTCTTGGTATGTTGGCAGTGAGCTTTATAGGACTTTATGCCACCAAATGAGTATCAGTCATAGAGGCTTTTAAGAAGGATGGACTAGCCTAGCAGAGAGAAAGTAGAGAGACTTCATTTTTCTGACACGAGACAGGCCTTTATGGAAGTCCAATGCAGAGATTTGGTTTAAGAGCAGTTTAATTATTCTATTTCGGGTCCTACATCCATTGGATTAGTCTTTTCTCTAAGAATAGATCATTCTCCCCTTTGCCATTTGTGCAGTGTTGGATCAGATGCTACTTTTTACAGAGGGTTTTTTGAAGATATGAACTTACATACAACTGTAAGTTTTATGGCTTCAGCTGACACTAGGTCTTCAGATGGTGTTATTTTAAGTCACTTTGGTCAGGACTTTGATATCTGTGGTTGTGAGTGTTGGTTTTCAGACGTTTGTTGTTTCATTTGTTTCATGTTCAGATTTGTGTCTGCAGAATTTGCTTTTAACATAACATCTAGCAAATGAAAGCCCTTTAAAGATTTATAGTAGAACTTCATCTTAAGAGGACTCCAGGGGAGTCGCAAGGGTCAGGAGAGGGGTGCCAAGATTGCTTTGTAATCTAGACATTATTTGCTAGAATGAGAAATCCATGTCCTTTACGGTACAGAGTACTTGATTTGCCTTCCATTGTGTGGAAAGCCATGGAATAGTGGTGGCATTCTTTGTATTGGAATACCCATTCCTCCTGACGCTCTGCCTTGGAAAAGCAAGTTGGAGTGGGCCTCCCGTCCTAGGGAGTGCCAGGCCCTCCTTGGGGTTGCACTGCTCAGCCTGCTGACAGTGCCATCAATTGGCCTGGAAGTGCTGTTTCTTAAGATCTAGAGGCTTGCAGTTTTGCACAAAGGGGTGGAGAGTATTTGTGGAGTCACCAAAGATGTGATTAGACAAGATATCGATTCTGAACTTCTGCCCTCTTCCCCTCTATTCAACTATGTTCTTGCTTACTGAGATGCAGACGAGAAAATGGAACAGGGAGAACTAGGCCACTGGCTTTTGAAACATATTGATCAGGGTACTCATCTGATGTAGCACAGAGACCTTCCCCTTTGTATGATGTCATCCTGCGTTGGGGCCTTAATGTGCCCTGTGATCACCTCTGCATGGACTTCCTTTCTCAGAGAAAAGATTAGAGAAGTAAAAGAATCCCTGTAGGCAGTGCCCAAAAAGAATTTAAGCATTTCTAAATGTGTTTCTTTGAAGCCATTGATCCCTTTGATTTTCTAGGCCATGCAGTGGCATGAAGGAATGGTGTGAGGCTGTCAGCCATAAACAACAAACTTCTGGGTAATGTTGGTCTAACTTCCTATCTCCCATCCACCTCTCCCTTGGGTGGTGGAGAGGCTTGGGCCTCCACTGCTGCTGTCTGTCTCACCCCCACCACCATACATGTTCTTTCTCTGCATAGTGCACATCTGTGGTGTAAATGTGCTGTGGACAGTTGTGTCTGTACTTGAACCAGCTCTAAGCCAGGGTCTCCCAGTTGGGTCACGCTGGATGAATGAGATGTTGTACCCTTGAGTGTCCTCTGGTTGAGTGAAGTGTGGCCCTGGCTCTTATCTTGATTTGTCTGGCTTGATTCTTTGTAAGCAGCCAGGGATCCTGTTAATGGATCCCCTGGGACAGATGGAAGAGGACAGAAGTAGATTTGTTGAGCCCTGTGGGGCGTTTGAAATGGTACCAAGAGCAGGCTGAAATCGAATCAGCCTTCGCTTATCAGGCTTGAGTTCCCTCATGCTGAAAGGGTGATGATTAGTAAGAAAAAGGCCAGGATACTTTTTCTTTTCTTTGCATATTTGGAAGAATCTCCTCTGCCTTCTTAGCATTAGAAGCAGACCATCTTTTTTCTCCGCCACATCATGTCAGCTTCCATTAAAAATCAACAGCAGCAAATATAAAGCCCCATCCATGGAAAACCGTTTAAGGCAACACTGTGCTCCAATGCTTCAGGGGTGGGGTATTTGCCTTCTGCACCAATGGATCGGTTTCTCATATCCATGCCTTTCTGACCTAGCAGCTTTTAAAAGACCAAGAAGCATTGCTCTGCTTTCTACTGCCTTTCTCTAAGAGACCAGGGCTGCCGTGCCTCTAGCCATGTCCCAGAGAGCATATTTGAGATAAGTCAGCTTAATTTGCCTGCATGCCTAGGAAGCCTCTCTTTAAAATCTGATTTGGGGAGAAGTGCGGTCTCTAAATATTTTGCTTTTCCCATCCAGGCGAGCGACGGAGGCGCCGGTGTCAGGTAGCATTCAGCTACCTGCCCCAGAATGATGATGAACTTGAGCTGAAAGTTGGCGACATCATAGAGGTGGTAGGAGAGGTAAGCAACCCGGCCGGCAAATACAGTGGCCTCAAATGGGCTGTCATAGTCACTGCTTACCCGCCCACAATGAGGCCTTGCTGCAGACTCACAGGGTGTTTGGCCTTGAAGTTAGGGATCCTCTAGTTGAGTCTCCTGTATGAGGAAATGGCTTTCCCCAGAGGAATGCCCCCAAGCCAGCTGAGTTCAAACCTGGGGCCACTGGAAAGCATTGTCTCTAACACAGCTTACTAAGTAACCCTGAATTTCCAACCCAGTGCCACCAAGTTTCTCTTCTACTTGAATTGATCATAGACTCTGCGTATCCAGAGTGACCCAGATCCATCTTTAGAGCATGGATTTAATATTCACTGTGGGGGACACTGTGGATTTAGAGGGCTAAAAAAGGAGTGACATTTCTTAGAAGACCTAGAATGTGGCAGGCGTGACAAGGTTCTTTAAGTTTATTGTGCAGGATGAGGAAAGAGAATCAAGAGACCCTAGAAGAGGCAGGGCTGATGGCCAACCCTGGTCCCTTTGACTGCAGACCCTCATTCTTCCTGCTGCACCACATTTTCTTGTTCCTGTACCACATTCTCATTCTTCCTGCTGCACCACATTCTCTGGTGAAATGTCCCTCCAGACTCCCTCAGGCCCAGAGGATCCTGGATTTCAGGCAAATTGAACAAATCAGAACACAAAATTGCATACACCAGGATAAAACCATGTAAAATATATCTATGTGCTTATCATTCATTCTGATTCAACAGTTGTGTCTGTATGTAGAAACAATTTTCCAATTGCTTTTTGTTTGGTGATGCCCTCTGACCTTACAGAAACCCACAGTTCATAGAACAGGAAGTTAGAAGTGGAGGAAGACTTTAAGGAAACTGTCATGTGGGTGGAAGTGGTAGAGGTGATGCTAGAAGCCAGATTTCCTAACTCTCATACATAACCTAATGTGAGCATGTGTCAAGAGTTTTATTTAACTCATTAGTGAAGGAATCTATAAGATGGTAAGGCTGACTAAAGAGAATTGTGAAAGAGCAAAGATAATGACTGAAAAAAATACTTACGATTGCTAAGTTACATGCAAACTACATAGTTCCCTACAGTGCAATAAAACTGTAACCTTTGAGGTTATCTTTTCTAGGGAACAAATCCTTTGCATTTCTGCTCATCAAAACTTATTTTTGTTGCTACCTGGCAAGAATCATTTGCAGTGCTCTCAGTTTTGACCAGTTAACATCCACAGTAACAGAGTTGTAAACTAGCCTCATAAATGGTAAATAATGTGCCAAACAGAGATATATGTCCCTCCACAAGCAATTAATGGGGTCTCCAGTGTGGCACTGGTAAGGCATGCAGGAACCCCTTTTACCTACTTCTGAGTTTTGGATAATTAATATGTCATTCATCATTTTTTACCCCTCATGGCAAGCAGGGCATATACAAGACATTTATTGAAAATTGAATGAGTGAAAAATGAGTGGATAACAAAGAACGTTTATTTCTGTGGTAGAATGACAAATTTCTTAAGACTATAACCATGGAAGGAGTTCCAGAAGAAAAAATAAACAGATGTGACTAATAAGAAAAATGGTTAAGATTTTGGTATAATTTGAAGCTAGTCCAGCTAAAGAAAGAGAACAATAATAGGAAAACATTTGCAATAAATTATGACAAAAGTTATTATATATGTAGTATGTGAAAATATTAGGAAGCTATTATAACAGTGATAAATGATAGATAAATCTGCCATAAACACAGATCCCAGAATGAGAAAAAATCATAGCCACAAGAAAATGTTCCACTCAGCGGTTAATTAAATAATACAGTAATTAAATTAAGACAGTAGTGGGTTTTTAGGAAAATCCTAAGAAAATATTTAGTGGTAAGGCTGTTGGCAAGGTGTGGAAGAACTGGTGAATTTGTATGTCTGTGTGGTCCTTATATGAAACGATTTGGCAAGGTATGTCAGGAGCTATAAATATCTGAGTAACACTTTTGACTCAGTGATCTCATTCCTGAGAATTTATCCACAGAAACTGATTAAGGAAAGAAGAAACGTGAAGTGTGTTTATTATAGCAGTATTTGTGATAATGAAAAATAATCAAGAAGGGGAATTAAGTTGTATTTTCCAGGTAGAACATTGTGAAGCCATTAAAAATGGTAAACACAGGCTTTTAAATATGTATTTGTTATGATACTTTGCATTGTAATTATCTGTTACATTCTATTAAGCTGAGAGCTTTTCAATGGCAGGGACCTGATTTTTATCTATCTTTATATTTGTGGTACCTGGAATAGTGCCTGAAACCTAACATGCACTTTAATAAATGCTTGCTGAATAAGTAAATGAATCAATGGAAATACAAAAGGAGTTTTTTTGCAAATTGAACAAATCAGAACACAAAATTGCATATACTAGGATAAAACCATGTAAAATATATCTATGTGCTTGTGATCAAAGACTGAAAGGGAACAAGAATTGAACATGCTTTTGTCATAGAAGATGACTTTTAATGTTGTAAGAAAAACCACAAGTCAAGACAAGGAAAATGATTAATACATATCTCAGGAATATCGCCCTCTTCTGCCTGCCTATTGGCTGCAGAGAAACTGAATGTTGATTGCTTAAAGGATAGAGGCGAGTGCTTGCAGAGCAGTTATTGGATTTGCCTAGAGGCTGATAGGCCTTTGCTACCATCTACAATACCAGTCTCCTTTCTATATTCACTGCCAGCTAAATCCTCTTCTTCATTCTGGAAGTGCTTCAAGTAAGAAAAAGGAAAAAATAACCATATAGTCTATGATATTTACATAAAACAAAACATAAAGGCCGGCATTTTAATCCGAAGTTTTAAAATATCATCAAAAATTCCCCATTGTTCCAGTTTACTTGTTATATTGCAGAAACTGGGTCCTTGTTACTGTATAACATAAAATCTGTCCTTTTCTCTTGTAGTGAATGTTATATAAATGCTAATGATAGCTCTTCTCTAATTTCACTGCTGATTAAAAATAAACAGAAAAGAAAACTCAAAATAAACAAAACCCCTAAATCACAGAGACAGATCAAGGCAAGAACATACGGTTTTGCAGTACTGTAGGATTAATCAATATATTAATAAAATATAACATTGTGTATGTATATATTATATTTTTATTAAGAAATGGATTTCTCTAATTTTGCAAAGCTGCAGACACACACACACACACACACACACACACACTCACACTCACACTCACTCCCCCCCCCTTCTTTTTGCCCTGACAGGTAGGCCTTAGGAGGATTTTGAATGTATGGATTAGTTTTTTTGAAAGAGTTGAATTAAGTAGGGAATCCTGAAGTCCTAAAACATCTGCCTTAATATCTAATTTTAGCTTAAAATATCAAATGTATATTTGTTCATCATTTATTAATATGATCTTATGATATAGGGCCAAGGCCACTTCCTAATTATGGGTTTACTGGTTTGAGTTCCATCTATCTCTGCATCCATAGTGCATTCTCTATGATTCCCATTAGTTTCCTTCTCAAGTTCTGCAGCTCCCCCGCCCCTCACCCCTTATCTTCTTTAGTTGTCCTCTTCACACCAAATTTGGCAACAGTGATTTTTAAACCTTCAGATGATTACCTTTATCCCTCCTTACCACCAGCTCTTTCTCTTCACACCTGTATGTATGTGTGTGTGTGTGTGTGTGTATATTTTTTTTTTTTTGAGATGTAGTCTTGCTCCGTAACCCAGGCTGGAGTGCAGTGGCGCAATCTCGGCTTACTGCAACCTCCCCCTCCCGGGTCCAAGCAATTCTCCTACCTCTATCTCTCAAGTAGCTGGGATCACAGGCATGAGCCACCATGCCCAGCTAATTTTTGTATTTTTTAGTAGAGACAGCTTCACCATGTTGGCCAGTCTGGTCTTGAACTCCTTACCTCGTGATCCTCCTGCCTCAGCCTCCAAAGTGCTGGGATTACAGGCGTGATCCCTGGCTGACACTTGTATGTTTTTGTCTAATTTAACCAAATGCGTTCTACCAATAATGAGCAAGAAGCTTAAGCAGGTTTAGGTAGAAACAGCCTTGACCCTTGGTCAGGTGAACAGCTTGCTCATTTAGTAGGAGAGAGTCTACCAGCCCTGACTCCTCAGCCTGAGCCAGCCTCCAAAGCATGGTTTAGGGAAGGAAGGAGTGTTCAGGGTAGTCTGGGCATAGTGGAGTTGGCAAAGCAAAGCACCTGCCAAGAAAGCACCTGCTGTGCTTCTGGCTCCTGGCTGGAAAGGGGTGATTGTGCTGTGGGGAAAAAAAAATCATCATTGTGAACCTAAAGGAACCAGACTGCCAATTCAAAAGGAAATAGCAGGCTGTGAATTCCTGGATTGATAGTTTTAACGAAATCATTGTGAATACACACTGGGTCATTTTATCCAAAATGGAGAAGAAAAATAAATACAGGCAAAGTTCTAATTGTAGGTAGAACAGAGATGGCATAGTGAATGAGGTTTCCAGGAGAAATGGCATTTGAAGGCCTCTGGAATTTTTATGTGGGCTTTTTGGCCTATAGAGTGGTGTTTTTTTGTTTTTTGTTTTTTGTTTTTTTTTGAGAAGTACATTGAAGCCACTTTTTTTTTTTTTTTATGTTATCTAGAGCCTGGGAAAGGAGCCACCTTTCCTTTTGTGTTAGATTAGCTTGGTCTTATCCAGTCTCTCATTGGTGGCCCAAGGGATGTTCAAAGATTCTTGTTTTCATGTATTCTTTTTGGTTACTTTTCAAGATATTTCTCAGTGGCCCACAGTCAGGCTGGCTTAAAGCTTAACCTGGCTTTGTGGCTTGCAAAGATAACTTCCACTTTTGAAGTACTTCAGAATCTTCTTTCTTGTGCCATGGAAGATTTGGTCCACTCAGCTAGAATTAAGTAGGCCCTTGAACTTCATCAAAACTTTATTTTTATTTATTTATTTTGAGGCCGAGTTTCGCTCTTGTTACCCAGGCTGGAGTGCAATGGCACGATCTCAGCTC